TGGACATGCCTGCTAGTGGGTAATTTTTCACTTTCTCTCTTACTGTCTTTTTCTGCATCTTTGGCAAGCACATGTGCCCTATAGCCAAACAAACAAAACAACATATCCAACTCTATATGTAATTATTATTAGATCACCAAAGCATGTTTAGAATTGGTAAACACGAATCAGCGTAAACCAACTAAAAATAACTTGGTTAATTTCATAGTGATGCTCCTCCATTTGTCTGTTTGGCCAGAGGATGCATGTGCACACCGAAGATAAAGTGAGGAAGCAGCCCCCCAGGAATGGGTTTGGGCACACGCACACACGAGCTGTGTGTGTTTCTCAAGCTGCCAGGTCCCGTATTTGAACTGCACAGCTGGCTATGTGGGATCCAGCTGCTTCAACCATCACACCACCAGCTAGCCCCAAGAATAAACAGGGTTTTTTTTGGAGAGGTTTTTGCTATAGGGCGTATGCGCTTGCTAGACAGACAGAGACAGACAGAGATAGAAAGCGAGAAATCACCCCCCAGAGGGGATGGCCATGCCGCAATCCCGTCTCCTCCATTCTCCTCTCGGGATCTTGGGCACTCACGCACACGCGCCCGGCGTGAGTTTAAGCCACTGGGTCTGGGACACGAACAGTGGTCAACTACATGGGAGTCCAGCGACATAGCCATTACGCTAACTGCTGGTCCCAAGAATAAACAGGTTTTGATTTCCAACTTGACATTTTTATAAAAAAGTTCTGCCAGAGGTATATGTGCTTGCCAGAGAGAGAGAGAGAGAGAGATGGAGGGTGGGTGGGGGGAGAAACTGCCTCAGAGGGCATGGGCACTCTGCAATGCCTTCTCCGTTTCCCCAACCTGTTGGGATTTGGGGACACATGCACAAGCCACACGTTCAGGACTCAAACTGTACGGTCAGTCATTTGGGATCTGGATCCCTAAACCACCAGGCCAGGGCCAGCCCCAGACTGACATTCTGGAAGGAGGTGTTTGGCGGTCCCCCAGGGCAGCAGCAGGCGTTTTGCTTCCCCGTGATGTGCTAGCTACTGCCGTCCCCTCTGTCCTCACCTTGGCTGGGAGCGGCTCTGCAGAGCCTGCCTGCAGGAGTACAGGTGGTCTGGTCCTGATGACTTGCCCAGTGTCCTGCAGGGTCCTGCAGCTGGTACCACCAGATGGGCACCTTCAGGAAGCCCTGGAGAATGGAGCATTTTCAACTGCTATGGTGATTAAAATTGAGTGAGCTTCCACCTTTGCTTCCTTAGAGAAATCTAATGACTGCAAGTGTTCTTCGGTTTATTATTTTTCCTTTTAGATTTATGAATTACCACAAATTATACTAATTGTTTTTAGCATCAGAAAGTTGAAATGATAAAGTCAAGTCTTGAAATGACTGGGCCTAAATGTTCTTTACTTAGAAATGTCTTTTTTTTATAATTTTTTTTTTTTTGGCGAGGTCTTTGCTATAGGGTGCGTGTGCTCGCCCGACAGACAGAGAGAGACAGAAAGAGAGAAATCACCCCCCCAGGGGGGATGGCCATGCCGCAATCCCTTCTCCTCCATTCTCCTCTTGGGATCTTGGGCACGCACACATATGCGCCTGGCGTGAGTTTAAGCCATCGGGTCCGGGACTGGAACCGCGGTCGACTACATGGGAGTCCAGCGACATAGCCATTACGCTAGCTGCTGGTCCCACTTAGAAATGTCTTAGTAGATACAAGAGATGAAAAGCATAACCAAGAACAAATCACCAGCCTAAACACAACACTGGCACTTCCCGGCACCGGAAGAACACAGCTGGCACGTGTGGCAGCCACAGTGGACGCTAGCGGTGAGGGAGCAGTGACTGCCGGGCTAAGCTGGGCTCCTCTAGGTAAGCCCATGGCCTCAGATGGCCCTGTCACTTGGTGCTCTTTTAGCTACGCCTTCCACCTGCTTCTTGTTAGTAAGTAGCTGACAGATTTATGATGAGGTGAAGGACACTGGAGCCAGGTAGTGGTGCTGTGGGAAAGCATGACTTGTGAGGTCCACCCACATGGAGAAGTCCCAGTTTGCATTTAGCGATCTCCCGAGTACTCCAGGCACTGTGTGCCCATGGACCAGGGCTGCTGAGGCCGGGGTGAGCTGTCGCTTCAAGCCCTGCTGGGGGCTCTGTTTCTCACTCTGTCTGTCTGTCTCTTATAATAACGGAAGAAATAAATAACCTTTTAAAAAAGATTGATATTACAGTGCTCACTTTCTAATACGACGAGAATGTGAAAAATAACTGTATAAAATATTTTAAACATGTATTTCAAGAAATGCACATTAGCACATTTTCCTGCTAGAGCTGGCTTTGTGGCTGTGGATCCACAGGAGTGAATTCCAGCTCCAGGGGGCTGGAAACACACTCCAAGTGCATGTGCGTGCACGTTCAGAACCCCAGCAGGATGGAGAACTGCAAAAGTGGCGGTGGCATCGCCATGCCCCTGGTGGGGGTATGCTCTTTTTCGTCTCTCTCTGGTGATAGCATGTGCTCTCTGAAAAATTTTTAAAAAAGAATACTTTTCTGCTTATCAAATTGGTAAATACGAACAAATACTCCAACTCCATTCAATTAAATAAATGTAAATCAGAACAAAACTCCATTTTCTGTACCAAGCAGACTGTGAGAGGCCAGAAAGGCTAAGAAGGTTGTATTGAACACATGGGTAAACCTGAGCTCCTGTAATCTGAGGGCAGGAATATAAACTGCTGTGAAGTCTTTGGAGAGTAATTTGGCCAAATCTGTTAACATTTTAAATGTCCAAGTCCTTTGGTCCAACCACTCCATGTTTAAGAATTTACTTTCTGATACTTAGTACTTTCACAGAAAGCCGTAAGCCAGAGGTCCCCAAATGGCACCAGTGCGTGGCCTGCTAGGAACGTGCCTCCCAGCAGGTGGGCGGCAGGCCAGCAAGCGAAGCTTCATCTGTATTTACAGTCACTCCCTGTTGCTCACATCGGGGCCTGAGCTCCGCCTTCTGTCGGATCAGCTGTGGTGTCAGAGTCTCCTAGGAGCCTGAGCCCTGTTGTGAACTGCACGTGAAAGGGATCTATTAGGTTGTCAGGAAGGTCATCACATATTTTTCTGTTTTTCTACGCAAAACTGTGTCATGACTTTCCCCACAATCCAGCTGGTTGGATTCCCCACAGTTCTTAAACCACCCCTCCACTGTGACCTGTGAAAAAGCTGTCTTCCACAGAACCGGTTCCTGGTGCCAGAAAGGTTGGGGATACCGCTATAAATGCAAGGACAGTCACTGCATGTTGATGACAGCAACTGCCGCTCCTTAAGGCTGGTCACGCGATAGTTGGCCATAATTTAAAAAAATATATGTATTTATTTAATTTTATTTGTTATTATTATTTAATTTGACCAGAGAGAGACAGAGAGAGAGAAAGGGAAAGTGAAAAAGCAAGCTTCCAGGTCTAGGAAATGTATCAGTATATATACTCATTCTCATACAGGTGCAAAATGGCACATATATGATGCATGTATCTAAGTAATATGCACTGGGTGCATGTGCTTGTGTGCCCAAGATCCCAGGAGGAGAATGGAGAAGGGACTGCAGTGTGGCCATCTACCCTGGGGGGATGAGTTCTCACTTTCCCTTTCACTGTCTGTCTGTCTCTCTCTTTGGTGAGGGCACATGCCCTATGGCAAAAAACCTCTTTAAAAAAAAAAGGAAAATTTTTATTTAAGAACTATATACAAGAACTAAAAAATAAAAATAAGCTAAATTTCCAATGATAGGGACATAGGTGCATTAAACTGAAAATCGTTACCTTGGTACAATCACTGTTTGTGAATCATGATCAGGGCAAAATGTTTAATATAAAAAGTAGGAAATAAAATTTTATATATAATTTATATTTTGTTTAAAATTATTAATAGGATGAAATATATCTATCTGATTGGTAGGATTTGGGGAAAGTTCTCGGTCCTCTTTATGACTGAATTTCCTATTTTCCCACAATGAAGATGTACCATCTTTGTAATCAGAACGAGTAACTCTTACTTACACAATATGTGCTTGGAAGCAAAATCTTACCGGAGGAGGAAGTTTCCCTTCAATTAAAAGCAAAGTATCTCCAGAACATATCTTAAGCTCTTTCAGTGTTGCATCCTGGGAATACAGAACACCCTCTGTCAACGATGACTTCTGAAAGGAGCAACTAGACACTGGGTCTTCTCTCTCATGCTAGGTCTCTATTACCTTTTCCAGAAATAGTAATAAACAGGTACTGAAGACATCAGAGATAAGGTAAGACTCTAAGATCAGGGTAGCATTATGTATTACACTGTGGGTTATAAACTGGAAGGATTGCTAAAGAGCAGAGAAAAGGCAGAGATAGAAAACTGAGGAGAGACTGATTTATGAAAGAGACACTTAAGTCTACAAAGATAGGTTGGATTTGAAAGCTAGAGGAAGGGGGGAATACTGTGATTGGATGTGTCCCTAGGTTCATGTGGTGACATTAGGCTGTGGGAGCACTAAGAAGGTCACACGTAATTCAGGCACACAAAGGGGGCCTCCGGGATGTCAGGACCAAAGTTATTGAGCAGGTGCTCACATGACCGGTCGTGGACTCAGGAGAGGGAGCGAGACGGACACATGGACACAGCCCTCGGGTTCCTGCCCTGTCTGGCCATGTGATGCCCTCCACTGTGTCGCCTATGGCAAAATGAACCTTATCAGAAATGGCTCTTACCTGTGGACTAAGTGGGCCAAATACATCTCTGTCCTGATAAACCACCAATCTCAGAGAATGGCCTAAGACAAGGATTTCTTATGAGGAAAAGAGCCAGGGCAAAGTCAGCCGAACAGTAAAAGCCTATTCTGGAAAACAGCTAAGAGTGATGCTGATCAGTGTGGGCTGCACCAACCAGAGACAATGAGACACACCACTGGGCTGAGGGTGGGCCACGATGGTGAAGAATAAAAGATAATACGGGAAGTAAGCAGAGTTTAGTCTGAAAAGGTCAGGAGGGAAAAGCAGCTGGCAAATTGTGAAGGGAAGCCAGTTTTGAGGATAATGAATTGGTTTTAGATGAACAGTTGGATAGCAATTTGAGAATTAATAGAGAAGAAAATGCTCATGCTATCTGGGTAGATATATAATTTGGACATCCTAGGTGTAAGGTCCACTTCTCATCCTGGACAAACTCCAGGCCAGGACTCAAGAGGGGCCACCTTCTGTGGACTCAGTGACGGTGACACGGCAGTGTCCAGGGGAAGGCCCCAGCCCACCCGCCTGTGTCAACCCTCTGTTTGCCACTGTTACAAAGACTGGGAGAGACGTCTGCTCATGACCATCTAGGCTTTCTCTCAAAGCTTCATTTTCGGTCTACTTCTAAGGCCACAGGCTTGGATGGGGAAGTTTATGCATCTGGACCAACAAGACTGAGGATTCCAGTAGCACTGACCTTCCTACTCCAAACCCATGGAGGAGGAGTCCGACCGTGAGCAGCCATCCCTCAGGCTGCCCTGAGCCTGGCTGTCTCGGGTGTGGGCTGGAGTCTATGTGGCAAGTTGGAAGATGAATTCTGTCACCATTTACTTACACACTCTGAGATTCACATATTCAAGAGGCAAAAGCTCAGTGTGTATTTATCATTATCTTATCAGTTCAAATGCCACTGGCTTTCTACCTCCTAAAGAGCCACTATTCCCAGGGACATGTTTTCTGCCACTGAAGGGAAATTTATCACAGATTTTGGAACTGTTCCCACTTAGCTGAGACTTTCTAGCAAAAAAACTACACTAAGGAAAGTGGCAAATATAGACCACTCACGTTTGTATCCTAAAAAAGTGCAATTAAAGCTGTCTTTAGAATTGACTCATGAGTGGGGTGGATATCTTGCATGAAAATACAAAATGAACTTAATTCTTTCTTTCTTTTTTTAAAGAAACAGAGTCTTGCTCAGGCTAGCCTTGAACTTGTGAGCCTTCTGTCTCAGCTCCCAGGTGGATGGGGTTACGGGTGTGTGTCACTGCACCTGGCTCAAGTTTTACTAACGTAAAGCGAACAAGGTCTAGAAATGATCTTACTTGTTCACACAAAGGCTCCCCAGCCTCATAGCACCAATCCATTTTTCGTAAATGCCACGTGTCTCCTACAAGAGAATCAGGATGAAAGAAATCAGAAGAATATGTTTTAAGAGTTAGGAATGACTCTTCTGTACAAATGGGTGTCAACAGGGTCTTGTGCTAATAACCGTTAATTAATTTTTAAGTAAATTAGCTCTTCCAGAGCATTATAAAAATCATTTCCTCTATCTGGTTAATTTGCCCTCTCTTCTGCTTGTGGCATGGCCAGCCCCCACCCCTGGGGGCAATTTCTCGTGTTCTGTCTCTCTAGCGCATGCACACACCCTATAGCAAAAATTTCTCTTAAAAAAAAGTTGCCCTCTCCTCCACCAAGAACTGTATACTGGCAATAAAAACAATGCCTGCTACTACTAGAGCACTTCAGCTTTCTCCCTTAGTAGTCCCACCTGCCCACATGCATACTTCAAGTGCCACCGTGTGCGTGCAGAACGTGAGTCAGAAGTCACTCAGCAGCTCTGATACACACGGGGAAGTTTGTCTGCTTAGTAGTGACTCTGACACAAGTACAGGCCAGCGTGTTCTGAGCAGCATTTTTCAAAAGGTCTGTGCCATGGGGCACAGGCGCTCGTGCTCACCTGAGAGGGACTGGGAGTGACAGTGAAGTAAAGAGAGAAATCACGCCCCGGGGGATGGCTTTGCCACAGTCCTTTCTCCTCTAGTCTCCTCCTTGGATTTTGGTTATGCATGCACACTAGCTGCCAGGTCCAAGACTCGAACCATGGTCTGTCATGTGGGAGTCCAGTTCCTTTACCACTATGCCACCTGCTGGCCTTCTGAATAGCATTTTAATGAAGTATAAGTAAATACTTAGAAATGTTTAATAGACTTTAATCAGATTTCTCTATTTCTCTCAGTATGAAGGACTTCAAAAAGTTCATGGAAAATGGAATTAAAAATACAAATTTATTTTAGTGCAAAAATTTGAAATGCTGGGCCAAAAGGTGGCATGGTGGTTAAGGCAGCTAGATCCCACATGGCCAACGGTACTGTCTGAGTCCCAAACTTGAAGCTTGAAAAACATGTTGGGAACATGTACACGTGTGCTCAAAATCCAAGAGGAGAATTGAGAAGGGATTGCAGCTTGGCCATCTCACCCTGAGGGGCGATTTCTCAATTTCTCTCCTCAACCAACCCCATGAGCACATGCACCCTATAGTAAAATCTAAAAAAAAAACCCCAAAAAACAAAAAAAAACAAACAAAAAACCTTGCATACTTTTTTCATAATATGTATTCTCCACAAACTTTTCAAAAAAGAATTATTTTATTTAACTTTATTTTATTGATTTATTTTAATCTGACCAGAAAGGTACAGAGAGTGAGAAAGCAAGCTGCCAGGTCTGGGACTCGAACCAAGGTCAGCCATGTGGGAGTCCAGTGCCCTTAACCACCATGCCACCTGCAGCCCCGCATGTACTTTTTAAGACCCTCTTGTCTATTTGCTACATTGGTAAAATGGAAAGAGAGTTCTGGGAAGAAAACTGAATGGAGTAAAAGTGAGAAATCCCGATTATTAAGAATATATATCGCAATGTCTACGAACAAGCTCTCTGCGGCCCCAGAAAACATTCCCAACAGCTGCAGGAAGCTCAGCTCTGACAGCTATCTTCTCTTTACCTCCACAGGCTGCAGGGTTTGAATCTCCATAGTCTTGGCAGACTCTCTTTCATCATAAGTTCTGTTTTTAAATATAGTAAAATGTATATCTTTTTTAAAAATTGAAATACCTTAAAAATCACAACTTAAAAGTGAATACTCTTCCCTGAGAGTGCAACAGACGAAGCTCTGGGGCCCGGAAGCAGGCAGCCCTACCGGCCTGCAGCCTCGCTGGGTCGGTCGTAAGCCCTTTCCCAGCCCTGTCCCCTCTGTCAAGTGGGAAGAGGTCACTCCCTGATCCCTGCACAGTAGGACTGCTGCAGAGATTAAGTGAGACGTTGCACATCCACTTCTCCAAGAGTGCCTGGTAGTCGGACAACAGAGCTGGGCTCCCACCTGGACAGCCCTGAGAACAGCGAAGCGCACTACTGAAAGCAGCACGGTGCCTCATCTAGCTCCCGGTGGGACTCCTCCTGAAAGTGACTTCCAGTTACCCTCCATTTACTGTTTTCATCCCTTTTACATCCCCTGAACTATTCCTGCCTTTGTGTCTAAACGCTGACACAAGGCAGGAGGCACTGAATTCTCAATCAGTGAGATGAAGACAAGTGAACAGGGAAAGGTCTGGGCGATTGCGAGCGGCATAAATCTTAGCTTTCTTCTGACCTTTGCTGGGTCCTATCTAGGTTCTCTTTACTAAGAGATAACCTTCCACTTTCTTGTAGTTGGAAAGAACCAGGAGCCTCTGTAATGTACATACAGTAATATAAACTACTTTTTTTCCACAATCCTGTAAAAATTATTTTTTCACAACCCCTGGGAAAAAGTTTGAATAGATTAAAGATCCTGTATTTTAAATAAAGAATGTGGATAAGATTACATCATTGTGGTAAATAACTTACCAGACAGTCCAGATTTCTCCAGCATTATCTTTAGACACTGTAAAAAAAAAAATGCCCATGTTAATTTTCTGTTTCCAAGTTACTGTAATAGGAGAAATGCCCTTTTTGGACCCTGGACTTAAAGTCTGACTATATTAATAATTCTTGAATAAACAAGAGACACACAGTTAAGAGGATGATATGCTAGGCAGCTCTCCTCCCTAAGACCTAGGCAGGGTCTATTTAGGAGGGGAAAAAGAACAGTTTCTGCTATTTACAACCCAGACTTGGTTCAAAGTTCCACTAACCCATTTCCAGATCTGAACTATGACTTCCTGCTCATGAAGATGGACTGCGTGTATCTGACCAGGTAGGACTGACGAGGCTGCTCTCGTAGATGCACCTGAAAGTCCGAGTCCCACATAAAGATTAGTCTTTTTTTTGAAGAGGTTTTTGTTATAGGGCGCGAGCGCTCACCAGAAAAACAGAGTCAGAAAGTGAGAAATCACCCCCCCCCCGGGGGGGGGGGATGGCCACGCTGCAATCCCTTCTCCTCCATTCTCCTCTTGGGATCTTGGGTTTGCACACACAGGTGCCTGGTGTGAGTTTAAGCCACCAGATCCAGGACTCGAACCGCGGTCAACTACGTGGGAGTCCAGCGACATAGCCATTATGCCAACTGTTGGTCCCAGATTAGTCACTATTTATCCCCCACAAAACAGTTGGTTGCATACAAACTCAGGGACAAGAGCTGTGCAAGCTGTGACCTCATGACACAATGCAAAAATAAGACAAGATTAATTAAAGTTTAAATAAACAAAAATAGGATAGCCTCATAGTGTGGCAGCGAAGTGCAGTGCAAAGAGAGTTGGAGCCTATGTGGGTAACTCATTGGAATCCTGGCCCAGGCAGCTTGAAAAAAACTCTGGAGGCATGCCTCAAATCTTGACAGGTTGGAGAAATGGAGAAGCAACTGCGACGTGACCATGCCCCACTGGGTGTTCTGTCTCCTCTCTCTCATGCACACACCGATGGGCAATTAAAAAAAAAAATCTCTATGAGCCAGCAGGTGGTGTGGTAGTTAAGGCGCTAGACTCCCATGGCTAACTGTGGTTCGAGTCCTGAACATGGTGGCTTGCTTTCTCACTTTCCCTCCCTCTCTGAGTCTCTCTGGTGCGCGCATATGCCCACCATATGAAATAATAATGATAATAATTAAATAATCCTTAAAAAAAATCTCAACTTCTTGATGGAAAAATGCCTAAATAAATCTTGGAGAGAATAAATAAAATATGATTTATAGTACACTAGAGCAAAAGGGAGTGAAAATAAGGATGGCCATGGGTGTACCAGCTAGAATAAGAAAAAAATGGCAACGACCACCACCGCCACTAATGTGGAGCACTTAAATAAACTAGGAATGTCTTAATGTAGTTTAAAGAATAAAATGGGGTTCTAGTGTATTATTTTTTTAAGATTTTTGCCATAGGGCACGTTCACTCACAGACGAGAGAAAGAAGGAAAGTGAGAAATCACCTCCTAGTGGGGAGTGGTCATGCCACAATCCCTTCTCCATTCTCCCCTCAGGATTTTGGGCACACATGCACAGGTGCAGGACTCGAAAATGAAGTCTGCCATGTGAGATCCAGCGCTCGAACCTCCATGCCACTGCTCACCCTACATCTTGGTTTTAAAAGATCTCTAAAATATTTTAAGTGAGGGGCCAGCAGGTAGCATGGTGGTTAAGGTGCTGGACTCCCACATGGCCAACCATGGTTCAAGTTCCAGACCTAGTAGCTTGAAAAATCACACTGGGTGCTACTTTATAGTATGTCCACTTTACTCACTGAGGTGTATGGCTAAAGTCAGACATGTGTTTGTAAATATGTACTATCAGCTGTGCTTGCTATTGAAAGGCTTTAAATGAATTAAGATCTTTAGTGAATCAATAAAATGTTGGGGGAAAGGCATGGAGAACAACTGTACATATCAGAGACAGTGTGGGAGAAGGGGGGAGCTGGCAGAAGGTGAGAGGTAGGGAATCAAGGGGGGGAAGCAAAATATATAAGAAACAAGAAATAGAAAATTATTTGTTGATAACAACATGTATGGTAATATCCTTGAGTCAATATACAATGTATACTGGATGGAAAAGTCTCATTTTGTATGTACAGTGCATGGCAGCAAGCAAGCAAACAAACAAATAGAAAAAAAAAAGAAAATCACACTGGGGGCCAGCAGATGGCATAGCTGTTATGTCACTAGACTCCCACATGGCTGACCATGGTTTGAGTCCTGGGCCTGGTGGCTTGAAACTCACGCCAAGTGCGTATGCATGTATGCCCAAGATCCTGGGAGGGGAATGGGGAAGAAATTGCAGTGTGGCCATTCCCCTGGGGCTGATTTCTCATCCTCCCCCACCCCACTGTCTTTGTCTCTTTCTCTCTGGCAAGTTCACATGCCCTAAGGTAAAAACCTCTTAAAAAATAAAAAAAGAGAAAACCACACTGGATATGTGTACATGCACATCCAAAATCCCAGGAGGAGAATGGAAGAAAAGGGACTGGGTGTGGCCATCCCTCCTGGGGAGCGATTTTTCACTTCTCACTGTCTCTGTCTCTCTCCAGTGAGTGAACATGCCCTATGATTGTATATATATATTATATATTATATATTGTATTATAAGGTTGTATTATATTTTATATATATATAAATATATATATACACACACACACATATAATATAAATGAATAGTTACATTGGATTGTTGGAAAAGTCATGACATTTTTGCATAGAAAAAGCAGAAAACAGAACAGAACTCTAGGCCCTAGCACAGTGCACACAACAGGATCCCACCTGTGATGTAAAAGCCACCCTGACAGGTTCTTCATGGTCAGCGCATGCACATGGCCACTCACTGCTAACGTGCAGAGCGAAGGTCTGGGGGACACACACTCTAGATGTGGGAAGAGAACACCAGTTGGGCTGGCGTCATAGCCTAGTGGTTAAGGGAGCAAGATCCCACATGGCTGACTATGGTTTGAATCCTGGCCCTGGCAGCCTGAAAAACACACCAGGAGCAGGTGCATGCAAGCCCCAAGTCTCAACAGGATGGAGAAGTGAAGGAGCACAAACTGTGGTGTGATCATGTCCCGTCGTCAGCCAATGGGCACCAGTCTTCCTCTCTCTCTGGCAAGCACACATGCCTTCTAGCAATTAATTAAAAAAATAAAAGGATTATATTATCCGAGGACAATGATGACTTCTGCAGAAAGGACTAGAACGTGGCAGTGGCCAAGGGGAATTTATAATCTTCCTGAAGTTTAAAATGTGAGAATAAATCTGTGTCTGCTTGTATAATTAAAAATAAAACGAAAACCTTTGAAACCTACTTATAGAGCATTTAGAAAATGTAGATGAGAGAGCACAATCTATTCGAACACGGGGAATGGAATTGAAGCTGCACTCAAAGGGACTTGCAAGCTCAGGAACAACACACAATGGGGTGTTCAACTTGACGGTTCCAGGAGAGGGACAACCAGAGGGATGGGCCTTGAGGGACGGCAAGGAAGCCAGTCTGGCTGCAGCTGAGTGGGCAGAGCAGGGCAGGCTGGAGGTGTGAAAACCAAGGGCCCCAAGTGCCAGACGTCCCAGGCTCTGCAGGCGGCAGCCCTCCCTCTGAGTGACATGGGAGCCACAGGACGGCAGTGGGTTTAGGAGCCGCTCGGCTCACTTTAGAGGACCCCTCAACTTCTCCAGTTGAGGAGAGGCCAGGCTGGAAGCAGGGAATGAGCCAGGAGGCTGCTGGGGTAATCCAGGGAGGTGCTGGTGGGTCTGAGGCTGGGGGCGGTGATGCACTAGATATGAAGAAAGGAAGAATCACGGATGTCCTCAAGGTCTGGGGCCTGAGTGAGTAGAAAACCGGCCTGCCATTATCTGAAGAGAACAGCGTGAGTGGAGTACATTCAGGAGCCTATCAGCTCACACGACCAAGCGGGTGCTCCGGGGCGAGGGCCAGGCTGTGCACTGGGGGGCGGGATGCTCACCCAGCAGGAAGCAGAGGAACTCACTCACTGAGAGGAGGTGTAGGCCAGCGGGTGGAAGGGAGCCACGTTGGAGGGCTTCAAAGACTAGAGGATCGTCAGCTACACTGGATGATGCTGAGAGGGCGAGTGTGAGGGACCGTGGGGACTGCTCACTGGACACAGCAGCATGGAGGCCAGGAGACTCTGTCCAGGGCTGCTCAGCAGAGTGGCAAGGGACAGGTCTGCCTGTAGCAGGTCTGAGAGCGTACAGGAAGGGAGACATGTACATTTGTCTTTACGAAATTTTTCTAGCTTTGTTCTTTGGAATTAAAAGACACTAGAGTTAATAGGCCAGTGAAAAGCTAGGGAAATATTTACCGTGTGAGATAAAGGACAAAAAATTACTTGTTTATTTAAAAAATGTTTTATCAGGGACCAGCAGGTGGCGTAATGGTTTTGTTGCTGGACTCCCCCATAGTTGACCACGGTTTAAGTCCCAGATCTGGCAATTTAAAGACTCGTGCCAGGTGCATATGCATGAGTGTCCAGGATCCTGAGAGGAGAAGAGAGGAGAAGCGACTGTGGAGTGGCCATTCCCCTGGGGGCTGACTTCTCACTTTCTGTCTTTCTGTTTCTCTGGTGAGCTGACATGCCCTA